CAGCCTGGACACAGCATATTATTTGAGAACACAGAAATGCTGGACCACACCAACAACCACCATGTCAGACTACACAGAGAAGCCATTGAAATCCACAAGCATGGACAATTTCAACAGAAAGGAAGAGACCATGAAAATGAACAAAATCTGGCTACCAGTATTAAAAAACTCTAAAATTATAACAGCTAAACAACAGAGAGAAAAAACCAGGCACAGATTAACACCTCCCAGGAACAGATTTTCCCAGGCTCAGGCAGACCTTCAAATGCTAATGAAGGTGATCAGCTAAACATTCACACCTAACTGCAGCAGGGAAGAGCTCCTTGCCCCACCCCAGCCATTCCACAGATATATAAACCCATTGTCCTAATTCCAACAGACCTCACACCTCTGAGGATGCTTGCCATAGATGCAGGCGAAACGTCAGGAGAAATGCCTCTAGAACATGGCTCTATAGCCCGAAAAAACCCACAAGAACCTAGATTTTCCCTAACTTTTGTGACAATCCTACCCCCCTAATCTCCGCAAATGTAGAGGGTTGACTATAACTGGTTTTTATTTTGTTATGAGCTCATGGATATAGGGCAACTGCTTCGAATGCAAGACCAAGAGCTATTAAGGCATAAAGTATAGTTTGTTTGTTTGTTTGTTTGTTTATTGAACCACTTTGACAGCATCATCACACAGAATCTGGACTCCGTTTCCATGTGCTTTGGAAACGGAGTCCCATGGAGGCTATTACCTGATGTAAGGGCATTTCTGGCTGGACTCTTTGAGACTCTGTTTCTGCAGCATATGAAAACAGAGCCCAGACTGCATGTCACCTGACTCCAAACAGGAAAAAAAATGGGAGAAAGACAAGGAAAGGACATGGGATGGCAGGTCATCCCACAAGATGGACCTTGACGGTAAGGAATGAAATAAGAAGGTTCCCTCCTCTTTCCCCCTGCTTTCTCCCTGCTAATAGGGTAAGATCCTTTGTCTCATTGAGAGGCAGAAAGCGAGACAAAAGTACAATAATAAACAAATAAATATAACTAAAATGTATTCTTGCGGACTTTGCAGATTGAGATGGTCTATGTTTTTTTTAGTTAACTTCCTCCTTCTCTTTAGATACTACAGAAGATATATTTCTTTAAAAGTTCACTCAAGGTAAAAAATTTCCCTTGACATTAAGTCTAGTTGAGTCTGACTCAAGGGGGGGGGGGGGGGCTCACCTTCATTTCTAAGCCGAAGAGCTGACATTGTCCATAGATGCCTTCTAGGTCATGTGGCTGGTATGACTGCATGGAGCACTGTTACCTTCCCTCCTAAGCGGTGCCTATTGATCTACTCACATTTGCATGTTTTTGAACTGCTAGGTTGACAGAAGCTGGGGCTAGCAATAGGAGCTTACCCCATCTGGCATATTCGAACCACCGACCTTTGGGGCAGCAAGTTCTGCAGCTTAGTGGTTTAACCCGCTGCACCACTGCAGCCTCTTCTGTTTATTATGACAAAGTTTAAAAGAAAGAGTTTCAGAGAGTTCTAATTGCTTTCCATTTGTGCTTCCCTTGACCCACCTGTGTCCCCCGCCTCCATGTTTTGACAGCCCAATCAGCTGATCAGCTGTTTTGGTCTTTTAAAATGTGCATGTGCACTGGAGCAGTCCACACAGAGGGAAGGGAAGGAAATCATGTGTTTTGCATGACTGTAGCAAAATACAGTCATGCAAAAGTGCACATTTTGGGGGCAGAATCAGGGTTTAAGCGCACCTTTTTAACACTTGCTTTTCTGCTGTTAACCCAATTTTGCCCGTACTTCATTGAAACATTGTGTAGCCCCTCCACCTAGATTCCAGTTACTTCCGGGTTTTTAGCCATGTGTAAAAGGGCCCTTTGGCTCAAGTTCCACTCCCCTCTGCATTCACCTTTTGGTTGGAATCCATTAGGATAGATTATTATGGAATTAGGTAAAGGCTTTCCCCTGACATTAAGTCCAGTCATGTCTGTGGTGTGGTGCTCATCTCCACTTCTAAGCCGAAGAGCCAGCATTGTCCGTAGACACCTTCAAGGTCATGTGGCCAGCATGACTGCATGGAGCACCATTACCTTCCCATTGGAGCAGTACCTATTGATCGACTTACATTTGCATGTTTTCAAACTGCTAGGTTGGCGGAAACTGGGGCTGACAGCAGAAGCTTATGCCGCTCCACGGATTTGAATTTGCGACCTTTCTGTCAACAAGTCTAGCACCTCAGTGGTTTAACCCTCTGCGCCACGGGGGACTCCCATATTATGGAATTAGGGAGAATAAATATTTAATCACCCCATTTCATCTGCTGTAGTTGATACTTAATGCATTTCACTTAATCATGCCATCACCAGGGGCTGTCCTTGGGGTTCAGGGTTCATGATCCACTCTGCTCTACATCCACCTTTTAGTTGGTCCAAACGTAGGAACTGATAAGTATGGAGCTCTCCTTAAAGAAGTTAAGATGTGCATGTGGGTATGTCTCTTTCTATTATCTCATTTATAAGATATATTTCTGGTATATCATGCTATAAATTGTAAGGTCAGTAAAGGGCACATTTGCCCAGAAAGATTGTATTTCGATTTCATGTAGAGAAGAAAATGTTATATCTACTCTATGAGAGCTGAGATTACTACTCTTGCTCTTTGTCTCGATTTCTAGGTCATCTTCAAATGAAGACTTTGTTAGCTCTGTGCCAAAGTTCTCCTATCAGTTTCATTCTATTCTCAAAAGGGTCGTGCCACCCAGACCACATCTAAAACAAGAGTGTCCCCTTAGCATTTTATTTATTTTAATCTTTCCTTGAGAACCATTGAGTTCTGATGTATTTTCTATGAATAAGGAGAGTAGTGAAATCTTCAGTCCTTATCTCTTTCACTTTATTTTGTATTTCCATTTCCTCCTAACAATATAAGACCATTCTTTCTGGTTTATTTTTAGCTTTGTCAAAGCATGACACCTCTCTCTCTACTTAGATAGCATATGGACAATTTGTAACTGTGTCTGAACCTCATACTCGAGCAAGATCCAAGACCCAAAGTTACATTTGCACAATGACTCCAATGGACTAATATCCAGGAGTTCTGTTTTCTATCCATTATTTTGGATGAGTAAGAAAAGTCTTTTCTCTTAATACATATTAAACTGATCTCTCTTTTACTTTTCTTTTACTGGCAGGCAAAGTCCTTTCTAGTCAAACAAGCATTTAGCAATTAATTGGTTGCCAGGAGTGGGCTATATTTTTAAGTTTTAAATTATTTTTACATTTGTGAAATTTTAGACAAATTATATTCTCATCTGTTCACTTATCATTTTAATGTTATTATCAGCCTTTTAGCTTTTTCTTCTTCTAGCATTTTTGTAAGCTGGCTTGAGTCCTATACAAGGTGAAAGGCTGGATATAAAATATCTAGATAAAGATGGGTGGATGGGCAGACAGACGCACAAATAAATAGGCATCTAAACTCATTTGGTTTTGGATTTTGCCGTACTCAAGAGAATGTTATCTGTGGTTGGATCTGCATTATATGGTCAGTGGAAACTAATATGCAGTTTAAGTGTAGACCCAGCTTGTTTCATAAATTACCCATTGGAATCGGCATAGAGAGTTGGATTGCAAGGAGTTTCTCATTCCAGATGCTCCTTCCTTCCCAAATCCAAGAAGCTGGTGGCTGCAGCATCTCAGGGATTTCTTCCTCAGCAGGATTTGACAGACACCGAAGAGACATTCCCAACCTTTGAAGTGTGGCAAGGAGACAAATTAGAACCTTGTAGATACCATCTGTTAAGTATAAGACACTGACTCATCCTAGCAGTTGGGGAAAATTCAGTGGTTCAACCTCTTTGACTGGTCATGCTCTTAATACTCCTGTGTTTCCTAACAATCATGACCCCTGGACAAGTTACCATTCATGATTCCTTGTCTCAATGCTTTGAGGCTTTGGATGTCTGGATTACTGGCTTTGTTTAACAACTTCTGACACCTTGCTCCTACACCTTCCTTCGTCTTCTGGAATTATTTGTACATGACCTGAACTGGATTGATTTCCCTGCAGCTGTCTCTCTTAGGAGAATCTGTCTCTTTGGATACTTCCGGTTCCTAGACATAGGACAATCTGATGAAGTCTCAGAGATGCCGCCAAGTGTCTCTGTCTGCTAAGAGTCTTAATCTTATCAGAAGGTATATAGATAGCCGCCGAGTAAAGCCAGACAATATAGTTTTCCCAAAGGCTCGAGCGTGCCATCACAGCTGCCATGCCTCTGAATGCTGCAGAAGCAAATGTACCCATTGTAAAGTCAACACAGGATTGCTTGGCTCCACACTCACATATATGTATATCTGTGTGTATCTATATAAATAAAAATGTAATGTTCGTTTGTGGGATTAACATAACTCAAAAACGACTGGACGAATTGCCACTAAATTTGGCCACAAGACACCTACTAATCCAAGGAGTGACCATCACTCAAAAAAATTGAGTTTGTCATTTGGGAGTTGTAGTTGCTGCGATTTATAGTTCACCTACAATCAAAGAGCGTTCTGAACTCCAGTAACGATGGAATTGAACCAAACGTGGCACACAGGACTCCCATGACCAACAGAAAATACTGGAAGGGTTTGGTGGGCACTGACGTTGAGTTTGGGAGTTGTAGTACACCGACATCCAGAGAGCACTGGACTCAAGACAATGATGGACCCGGACTTGGCACGAATATTCCATATGCACAACTAGGAACACAGATGGAGCTTGGGGGAAAGAGACCTTGACATTTGGGAGTTGTAGTTACTGGGATTTATAGTTCACCTACAATCAAAGAGCATTCTGAACCCCACGAACAATAGAATTGGAGAAAACCTCCCACACAGAATCCCTATGACCAATAGAAAATACTTAAGGCCATCCAGTCCAACTCCCTTCACCAGCGCAAGAAAACAGGGCAAGAAATACAGGACAAGCATAAAGAAATTACGTATATTAGAAACCAACACTTTCTCATTACTTTATTTTCCAGATCACTAGTCTGGGCCACAGCAATGCGTGGCAGTATATTATAAATACAGAGATAGAGAAACATAACACATGAATATAATACAATGAACAAAATGTCATTATATGTACCCACCATAAAGTAAATATAGGATTACTTAGCTCTGCACTAATTCATACATAGAGATGGAGATAGATATATACAGAGCTATATACTGGAGGCCCCGGTGGTGCAGTGGGTTAAACCCCTGTGCCGGTAGGACTGAAGACCAACAGGCCGCAGATTCGAATCCGGGGAGAGGCGGATGAGCTCCCTCTATCAGCTCCAGCTCCTCATGCGGGGACATGAGAGAAGCCTCCCATAAGGATTATAAAAACATCAAATCATCCAGGCGTCCCCTGAGCAACGTCCTTGCAGGCAGCCAATTCTCTCACACCAGAAGCGACTTGCAGTTTCTCAGGTCGTTGCTGACACGACAAAAAAAAGAGCTATATAGACAATGTAGCACATGACTAAAATATAGATTGAATGCAATATTGTATCACACATATAAGAATATATGCATGGAAACATTCAGAGAGCAACGTGATTCCACCTGGCCTTGGAGGCTAAGCAGGGTCCGCCCTGGAGAGAACTTGGATGGGAGACCACCAACGATGAGCCAGTGCTGTGGGCTCTATTTCAAGGAAAGGAATGGCCAAAAGCACCTTCTGGCCTAAGGAAACCTTGTGGAGATTCCACTAGGTCCCTGCAAGGCAGCTTGGAGGCGCGCGCATGCAGGCACACGCTTTCCTCGTTGTGCAGAAGGGATAGAGGCAGTCTATGGAGACGAGGGACCACCGCCATCTTTACAACGGGCATCCGTTTGGCTTCGCCAGCCTCGAATGAATGGGATACTTCCGCCATTTTGGGGAGGGGCGGAGGCTTCTCCCGGGCCACCTGAAGGAAGCTGAGGGAAGCCGCGAGCTGTGTGAGTAAACCCCACTTGGGAGGAGAGGGGCGGGGAGGGAGGCTCAGGGCCCATCTGCACGGAGGAATTAACGCGGTTTGGCAGCACTTTGGCAGTCTGGTGCAGAGCTGTGCAACCGTGGGAGCGGCAGTTTGGTGAGGCGCCAGCCCTCATGGGCAAGGCAGGCCAAACCTCCCAAGATTCCATATCATTGAGCCATGGCAGTTAAAGTGGTGTCAAAATGCGTTAATACTGTAATGCGGATGTACCTTTAAGAAACAGGGCGTCACCTGCATTATGGATCTGCTTCTTCCCTGTTGTCAGAAGTGTCAGTAGAAGAAGGAGGAAATAAAATACTAAATATTAGGTTGAGCATCCCTGATCTAGAGTCCTGAAATATCCCACAATTCTGCACCTGAGAGGCTGAGACAGTGACACCTTTGCCTACATAGAGTTCAGTGTGTACACACTTTGTTTCATGCTCATAATCACAAATCTATACAAATAAAAATGCTAGGGTTTTGTGTGTGTGCCCGAGTGTGCACGTGTGTTTGTGGGATTAACATAACTCAAAAGCACTGGATAAATTGGACACAATACACCTAACAGTCCAACGAGTGTTCATCACCCATTAATACACACGCACACTCGCGCGCACACACAAAACCCCAGCAGAACAGGCTTAAAAAACCCCAAAATACACCATATATACATATACACATACACTCATATACATATTCACATGCTCACATTCATACACACATGTATATATATGCACAAACACATACATATACACATATACATATATACATAAATACATATCTACATAGATACATATATACACACAAATATGCATATAGACAAGCATACACATATACACAATTTGCATGTACACATATAAACACACAAATACACAAATATATACACACACGCACACATATATACACCCACACACACACACACACACATATATATATATATATATACACGCAAACACACAATATGCATGTCCACATATAAACACACAAACACACATATATACACACACATGTATATACACACACACACATATATATATACACACACAAAACACATATACACAAACTGGGTCACAGCAACGCATGGCAGGGGGTGGCTAGTATTTATATAATTGGCTTCAGGCTATACCAGGCATGAGCAAACTTGGGCCCTCCAGGTGTTTTGGACTCCAACTCCCACAATTCCTAACAGCCAGTTCAAAGCAGATATTGTGGGGTTTTCTACCTTGGTATTCTGGGTTATTATTATTATTATTATTATTATTAAACTTTATTTGTACCCCGCTAGCATCTCCCGACAGGAGCCCCCGGTAGCGCAGTGGGTTAAAGCACTGAGCTGCTGAGCTTGTTGATCAAAAGGTCGCAGGTTCGATTCCGGGGAGCGGCGTGAGCTTCCGCTGTCAGCCCTAGCAAAAAGAAACAACAGGCAATAAAACAATACACTAAAGCAGAATAAAACTGGGTTATATGGCTGTGTGGAAGGGCCTTCACTCTTGGAAAAGTTATCATGGGAAAAAGGTGTCTCCACTGAAGCTTTATCACCATCCCTTGCTTCCACAACAAGCCAATGTTTTTAAAATCCTAATACAGTGCACGCAGTGTATTGCTGGGCAGGGGCACCACTTTGAACATGGATTTTTGTAAAACTGATTAAATCAACATTTAATCAGTTTTAATAGGTAAAGGTAAGGTAAAGGTGTTCCCCTGACATTAAGTCCAGTCGTCTCCGATTCTGGGGGTTGGTCCTCATCTCCATTTCTAAGCCGAAGAGATGGCATTGTCCGTAGACACCCCCAAGGTTATGTGGCTGGCATGACTGCATGGAGCGCCGTTACCTTCCCGCTGGGGCAGTACCTATTGATCTACTTAGATCTGCATGTTTTCGAACTGCTAGGTTGGCAGAAGCTGGGACTGAAAGCGGAAGCTCATGCTACTCCCTGGATTTGAATTTGCGACTTTTCTGTCAACAAGTTTAACAGCTCAACGCTTTAACCCACTGCGCCACCAGGGGCTCCTTAAATGTTTAATATTAGTCTTCAAATAACTAAATTATTATTATCTGTTAATCAAGAGTATATTCATTTTTGCGAGGAGAACACCCAATCTGTGATCTTCCAAAGCTGTTCAACTACAACTCCCATCTGCCCAACACTGGCCCCATTTACAGTGCCATATAATACAATTTGAAACGATTTCATATAAACTTCATTATATGAGTCCAATTCAATGCAGTTAAATTTAATTATATGAGTCTGCACTGACCATATAATGCAGTTTCCAACTGCATTATACAGCAGTGTAGAGAGGGCCACTCTCTGATCAGTGGTGAAGTATGATAGGAGTTGTAGTTCAGTAGTATTTGGATGACCACAGCTTTTCCAGTGCTAAGAGAAGGCTTTCAAAAACATTGATGCATTTTTTTTATAAATTTTTGAGCAACAGATTTTAATAGAGATCCCAGAACTGTTTGTAAGCTGGTTTGTGAACTTTGTGAACTTACATGCATGTTTTTATATAGAAAACGAAAAATACTGTGAATAATTATAGAGGTTGAGGATCCCGTATCCGAAATACTTGGGAACAGATTTCTGATTGGGTTGGTGAAGGCTTTCATGGCTGGAATCACTGGGTTGCTGTGAGTTTCCAGACTATATGGCCATGTTCCAGAAGCATTCTCTCCTGATGCTTTGCCCACAACTATCACAGGCATCCCCAGAGGTAGTGAGGTCTGTTGGAAACTAGGCAAGTGGGGTTTATATATATATCTGTGGGAGATATATCCAGGGTGGGAGAAAGAACTCTTGTCTGCTTGAGGCAAGTGTGAATGTTGCAATTGGCCACCTTGATTAGCATTTAATAGCTTTGCAGCTTCAAAGCCTGGCTACTTCCTGCCTGGGGTAATCCTTTGTTAGAAGGTGTTAGCTGACTCTGATTGTTTTCTGTCTGGAATTCTCCTAATTTCTGGGTGTTGTTCTTTATTTACTGTCCTTATTTTAAACCAACTTGCTTAGTTTCTAACAGACCTCTGAGGATGCCTCTCATAGATGTGGGCGAACCGTCAGGAGAGAATGCTTCTAGAACATGGCCATACAGCCTAGAAAACTGACAGCAACTCAGATTTCTCATTTTTTCAGATTTTGGAATATTTGCATAAAAATAATGAGATATCTTGGAGATATATCTCAAATCTAAATACTACATAAATTCCTTTATGTTTCATATACACTATATACACAATATTTAAATAATGCTGTAAATGAATTTTGTGTGTGAACATTCTTTTTAAGAAGTAACTCTGTTGCTTTGTGACTACCAAAAAGTAATTAGTTAGAAGTAACAGCGTTATGTAAGCTGTTTTCTCCATCATGATTTCTCCCTCATTACTGAATCTCTGTCTTATGGTATGGTTTGATATCGGAAGGACTTTTGTTTGTGAGTCATTCGTCAATACATCAAGCCATTCCATTCCCTCTGTGTCACATAGTTCTCCAGGAGAGAGACCTTTGTGAAATGTTCAGTTATGCTTTCAACACATGAGTGACTGACAGGAGCGACTGTATTGATGAAAATCGCACTGTCAAAAGCAGCTCTCTTTTAGAAGAAAGTGATGATATGTGCCCTGGTTTGTGTCCCAGAAATTTATATACGTCTTCTTTCTTTCCACCAAGTATTGTCATTTTGCAGAAGTAACAATGGGCTGGATCATGCCATACTAATTTAATAAGCTTGGAAGCTACAGGTCTAAGACATTTCCTTATCAAAGCTCATCCATAGACGTGTGATGTGCTTCATCTCCAACTGGCAGTGCAGATCCACTGGTTTTCCTTGAGCGTATGATATGATATGATAAATATAAGAAATTCGGAGAGAGATCTTCCTCTAAATATCCATTCTGAAAGAATGCTTGGCTCCTCAGATAGGTACCTGGTGTTTGGAGGGGGCACATGGCTCCTTCACACTTTCCATAGGTATAATTAGTTTGACATTGACTTCGTTTGTTACTCAGGTTTTTCCAGGAACTATCTAACGTTAGATAGCCTATCTAACGAAATGGAGCCTGCTCTGGATGTTTTCAAGTAGAGTCTAGATGGCCATCTATTGGGGGTGCTTTGATTGTGTGTTCCTGCATGGCAGAATAGGGTTGGTTGGACTGGATGACCCTTGTGGTCTCTATGAATCTACGGCTTCTGTTCCCACAATGGCCAACCATTTCCAACAAGCAAAACAAGAGCAATTGCGTCTTTCCACTTGTGCTTCACTACAAATTGAATTGGATGCTATACTTCCAGTGATAATGATGGCTGAAGGGCTCTGAGGGTGCATCTGTGCTGTAGAATTGATGCAGTTTGATACCACTTTAACTACCATGCGTCAGTGCTATGGAATCATGGGATTTGTAGTTTGGTGAGGTGCCAGTACTCTGTGACAGAAGGCTGAAGACCTTGTAAAATTACAGTTCCCATGATTCCATAGCAATGAGCCATAGCAGTTAAACTGCGTTAAGTTCAGTAGTGTGTAGATGCACCCTGAGAGTTGCAGTTTAACAAAATAGCTTTTCTAACATCTGCGAAAGCCAATGTGTCCAACTAGTAGCCATTGACTACTTTGTTGTTGTTGTTGTTGTTCATTCGTTCAGTCGTTTCCGACTCTTCGTGACCTCATGGACCAGCCCACGCCAGCGCTCCCTGTCAGCCGCCACCACCCCCAGCTCCTTCAAGGCCAATCCAGTCACTTCAAGGATGCCATCCATCCATCTTGCCCTTGGTCGGCCCCTCTTCCTTTTTCCTCAGCATAATTGTCTTCTCTAAGCTTTCCTTGACTGCATAGTCTTCCACTATACAAGATAAAGGTATCTTGTATCACTATACAAGATAAAGGTATCTTCAAAATTCTTGTAATCATTGAAAATCGGAAAAGGCCTTAGAAGAGGCTTTCCTTTTCACTTGCACACTTAGATAGAAGGGAATGCCGTTTCTAAGAAGAGGCTCGCTATAATACATGTATTATTTATTTTTTATTTATTACATATATTTTTATCCCGCCCTTCTCCCCACAAGGGGACTCAGGGCAGCCTTACATAAGCATCCAATGATGCAGTCCACATATACCAATAAAATACAATTAAAACAATAAAATGTACAGTCACCCCTCTATATCCTCAGATTTGGTATCCACAAATTCAACTGTCCACATCTTGAAAAATATTCCACCTCCACCATTTTTTTTTAATTTTTGGAAAATCAAGGCTTGGGTTTGCTATTTTATATAAGGTACATCATTTTACTATCCCACACTAAAAGCTGGATATTTATTTATTTATTTATTGCTAGCTGTCCCCTGCCACACATTGCTATGGCCCAGTCTGTGTATATGTGTTTTGTGTGTGTATATATTTGTGCGTATCTCTGTGTATATATTTGTGTATATGTGTTTGCATATATATGTGTGGTTTTGTGTATGTGTTGTAATGTATTTTTTTGCTTTTCAAGTCTCTTCTGCTGTGTTTTTCAGTGTTTTTATGAGTGATGGTCACCGTTGGCCTGATAGGTGTATTGTGTTCAAATTTGGTGTCCAGTGGTTTTTGAGTTGTGGTAATCCCACAAATGAACATTGCATTTTTATTTATATAGATTTATTGCACATATATACTTCTTTGCTCACCCCTAAGGAACTCAAGTGGTTCCCAATATAATCAATGGCAAAATTCAATACATGTACAAAACAACCCATATCAAAACAACAATGACAATAGATTAAAACCGCTAAAATTATAAAACTATAAAACATCAGCCACGCACAACACATAAACATTTAGGCTTTGCACAATCCCAAGGATATCCTTAACTACTTCCATATTTACATGTTTCTGTCATGCCACAGATTTTCATATCCTTTGGGGGAAGAAGGAGGGTCCTAGAACTAAGCACCAAAGGATTGCAAGGTCCCACTGTATAATATTTTAAAAATGAAGATCAGATGCTTTCTTTTTCTTTTGGTGCTAACATTTTCATGTATGCAGATTTAGGTAATTAAGTTCAGATATGTAATAGATTGTGATTTAAGTGACAATAATAAAAAAGTAATAATATTTATTACTTCTTTAAGTCTGAAGAAGAATAATTATTGAGGCACTGCATGAAATGCTTACACCTTTTCTGGATGGAACAGTGTGTGTTTTGTTCCAGTTTAATCAGTAATAAAAGCTTGTCTGAACTCAGCAGGAGAAAGGCTGAACTTTGAACGCTCACTCAGTTGGAAAACCTGAGATAATGAATGCCTTCCACTCTCAGAAGATGTTGAGGTGGTAAAACTAAAGGGTTTAAGGACTGGGACAGATACCGTGATATATGCAGCTTCTTAAGTGAAAGAGTCTTAGCCAATATTTCATCAGATTTCACCAACTGGCATGTTAGATGAGGATTTCTAAGAAATACTGCATCTGACTTCTAAGAAATACCAATTCTGAGAAATAATTGTATCTTTCTAGGCAGCACAGAATCCCAACATTATGAAGCCAGTTATTGTGGTTCACGGTGGAGCTGGTCGTATCTTTAAAGAGCGAGAAGATGGAAGTCGCTCCGGCGTCACCAGAGCAGCTCTGAAAGGTTATGGTATCTTGAAACAAGGAGGGAGTGCATTAGATGCCGTAGAAGAAGCAGTGGTGTTAATGGAAGATGACCCACATTTTAATGCAGGTAATCTCTCTGAACCTCCCATTTTGCGGGACTGAGAACTCAAATCACATCGTTTTATGTGTAGGAGCCAGCTTTCTTCTTCTTTTCTTCTTCTCTTTGGTTGGCCGTGATCCTGTGGATTAACTTCAACCTGATTCATCGGGATTCTGCTGTTACTTCATTTCCTTGCTGTCTGTCTATTAACTTCTTTCAAGTCTGGCTGCTGTTACAGGAATAAAGGAAGGGACATTAATTTTTTAAAAAAGGAATACCCAAAGCAATTTACACTGAGTCTGTCCACAAGGCAGAATTACAGCAATTTGCCTGCCATAGCTCTATCCTATTCAACTGTGGCATTTGTAATTTCTTGTAGGACCAGAGCTCTCTAACAGAGAAAGGTAAATATCTCACAAAACCCCAATTCCCAGAATTCTATAGCATTGAGTTGTGACAGTTAATGTGGGGAGTTTTTTTCATGTGAGGAGCGACTTGAGAAATTGCAAGTCGCTTCTGGTGTTAGATAATTGGTCATCTGCGAGAACATTACCCAGGGGACGCCTGGATGTGTTACCATCCTGTCTCAGCATGATAAACTAGAGCTGACAGACAGGAGCTCGCCTCACTTCCTGGATTTGAACCACTGACCTTTTGGTCAGCAGTCTTGCTCACACAAGGGTTTAACCCATTATCAAACAGCTATAATTCTGCTGTGTAAATATAGCAAGTTTATCCTGTAGCTTCATTGTACAAGGATGAAGCCAGAGAGACTTATTACATTACCCTATTTACATGAATCTAATACTCTTTTTTTTTCTTTTTTCTTTTTTTTGCTAAATCACCTTGCCAAAATCAGGGTGAGCATTAGCTTTGCATAATATGGTAATTTTAGTGCTGAGCCAAAGTAAAAGGGGAAGCTGCTTTAGAAACTGCACCTGGAGCTCCTATTTGAGGGACATCATATCTAACTTAGTGGCCAGGGCCCAATCCTATGCAATGCTAGGAATTGTAGTTTGGTGAGGCATCCACCCCCTTTGACAGAGAAGGCTCAAGACCTTGTAAAATTACAGCCCTCATGACTCCATAGCATTGAACCAAAGCAATTAAAGTAGATTCACTCAACAGTATAGATGCATCCCAAGATTTTTTTTCTATTTCTGTAAGCTTTGGTGTTATAACACTTTTTTTATTATTATTATTATTATTATTATTATTATTATTATTATTATTAATAATAATAATAATAATAATAACTTTATTCTCATACCTTGCCACCATCTCCCGGAGGAACTTGAGGCAGCTTGGGGGTTGAGAAGGGCGGGGTAGAAGTGCCCGAAATAAATAAATAAATTACATGGAACCAAATGCCCATAAGACAATAAACAAACAATCCATGAAGCAAAACCACAATTGAAATAAGAACATAATCAAATGGAACATATTTTTCTAGTTAAAAACAAAGTAAATGGGCATAAAAATATAAAAATTAACATTAATACTCCATCCCATCAATACTTTTGTTTTTAAAGAAGGAATTCTAAGCAGGCAGCAGCTGTAATGGACAAATTACAAAGAGTGGACTTTGTGTCACTGTGATTACATTTGGCAGCAAATACTTTTTTCTTTTTTTTTTGGTTTCAGGGTTTTGAAAACTGGAGTGTGCATTAGATTAAATCAATATTAATAATATTAATTATGGTAATATATCACAATCAACTATGAATATTAATCAGATTGGGATTTGCTTGCCCCAGCCACTGGCATGTACCATCTATGCTAACATCTGATCAGAACCAAAGAAATGCCTTTCCCTCGTCTCCCATGGCCTTGCATCTCACCAGTACACTCTTTTATCCTAATAGGTCTTTGTCCAAGCCTTCATCCCCAACTATTAGGATCTGTTTCTGTTATGTAAGGAAATAAGCAGATTCTTGTAGTGAGTTCAGAAATGCCTTAGTGATGGTAAGACATAGGTTCTCCAGATGCTTTGGATTTCTGCTGCCATCATCCTTGATGACCACTGATTAATGTTGATTGACAATCCTGATGTCTAAAACATATGGATGCTTAAGAGTTGGAAACCATATAAAAAAGGAACCAGCAGTCTTGGCTTACATCATTAGTATCCACTGAGCTTTTTGTGCTGCCACAAAGGGCAGTAGGGGCCATCTCTCAGAGCAGTTAATGTTGAGTGAAAATGAAAGGAAATTTGAGCGAGACCAGGGTAATTTAGTCATCTCCAAGCAATCACTTGAGTGGGTGCTTCATTCTTTAGGATGGAACCACAGTTAATGACTCTTCTGTGGTTCAAGGAGGCAATCCACATCACCCAAGACAGCAGCACACCTCCCCATTCCATTGCCATCAGGGAGGGGGTTGGACACCACTGATGGTGGAAAGCTGCTATTTAATCATTGAGCACTTTGAATAACCTTTCCTAGATAATCTGTGTTGTCATCAGTTGATGACAACTTTGACATTTCGCAAGCATCCAAAATGCAGCCTTTGTGTAAGGCATTCTTTCCTTTCCTTTTCCTCCCTAGAATCTTTATTCTAAAATTAGCAAAGCTTTGTTTAAGAAGATTCCCCCTTTGTTCAGGTAATTCAGCATTTTGATACATTCTGAGCAATGTACTTCACATATCAGATGATGCTGAAACAAGCCTGTGAGCCCCCAGTTTTGTTAGTCAAGAATTAGCCAGCTTGTTAAAATTTGGCTACCCTGTTACACACAGGATCTTCTCCTTTAATTGCTTATATCTACATGTGTTAAGGCTTATTGAGTGCAGCTGCTCTTGGAAAACAAGGAGAAGGCCCTAATTGCAGTTGCTGTTTGAAACCTACTGTGGAGTATTTGTCTTCATCAAGGATGAAGCAGTCTTAGCATAAGGGGATGCTAGCAACAGTAGGATGCTTTAGATGGTTTTAAATGGTCAGAATTTTTAGGGGAGGAGTTATAGACTGCAAGTCCCAGAAACTCACAGCCAGAATAATAATAATAATAATAATAATAATAATAATAATAAGCGAATACACACCTCAAAATAATAACAGCAAACTTATAACAAAAGAGAAAGTGACATCAAAATGAAAATCAGAATACGAGTAATCAAATAAACATAACTATACTTATAACATAATTAACAATTAGACATAAATCCTAAGAGAATGATTAAAAGACATAAAACGGCTATCATGGTGGTTCTTTAACATGTACCATAGCAGCAGTGGAATACAAATAAGCCAGCATTCTGATAGAATTAAAAGTGTCTTTAGTCCTCTCCATATGCTAGGTGCATTTTCAAAAGTTTTTTTGAAGAAGGGGAGGGTGGGGGCATTTTTATTTCTTTAGGGAGGGAGTTCCAGAGACAGAGCAATCACGGAGAAGGCTCCCTCTTTCATTCCCACCAATTGTGCTTGTGACTGTGGTGGGACCGAGAGCAGGACCTCCTCCTTTGACCGCAGTGCACGACATGACCTTTATAGGGAGTTGCAATTAGACGAATAGCCTGGACCTGAACCATTTAGGACTTTATATTTATTTATTTAGAGCATTTATACCCCGTTCTTCAACGGCTTCAACAGGCAACTATTCAGTGCCAACACAATATAATAACATAACATCAAATACAATTAGCATACATTTAAAAAGTTATAAATATAAATTAAAACAGTTTGCTGGTTCAAATCGTCATCCGATTCAGTCCATTGTGGCCCACTAAAGCCTTCACCAGTAAATCAGTCCATTCTGCAAATGCTTGATCCCACAGCCAGAATTTGAGTTTCTTCTGGAAAATCAGGAGGAATGGGCAGATTTCATCTCATAAGGGAGGGAGATCCACACCCAAGGAGCCACTACATAGGTAACAACCAGCACTTTATATTTAAGCCCAAAAGCGGACCGGCAACCAGTGGAGCTGTCGCAGCATTGGAGTCGTCCTCTCACGATACGGCGCTCCACTTAGCAATCTGGCCGCCATTCTCTGCACCAGTTGCAGCTTCTGAACTATCTTCAAAGGCAGCCCCACAAAGAGAACATTGCAGTAGTCCAAACAGGATGTGACTAAGGTGTGGACTGCCATAGCCAAGTCAGGCATCTCAAGGAACGGACGCATCTGGCACACAAGTTTAACCTTGCAAAAGCACTCCTGGTCACCGCCAATAACCAATGGCCATATGATTCTGGTAACAGGAGTCCCAAGAAAAAGTAATTTTACATGCTCTGAAAATGGCTAAGCTACTTGGATAACTATTGAATAAGTGTTCCCTGTGGTGGTTCTTCTGGGAGTGTTGTTGTTGAACACAGTCTTACTGGAAGGGTGGGGTGGGTGGGTTGTTACAGTTTCTAGGAAATGTATGGATTTGAACAAATACTCAGAATTTACCCTACCTGCCCATAGTTTGGAAATGGTCGATCACATCTGGTCCTGGTACAAAACTCAAAAAAGATCCTGTCTTAGGTAGTTGACTTTTAGGTACCATTAAATCCCAGAGTTTGTACTTCTTCCCAGTAGCACCAAAAATACAGAGTGTTTCAAAAGGATGGACCCTGTTTGAAATTACTTTATCCCTGCAACCACAAACCACCCATGAATGAAACTTTTACCATTTGTAAGGCTGGGGCATAGAATTTCAAATGTTTACTGCTAGATGCCTCTCCCAGCACACAAACAGCTCCTGGCCTCAGTCATTCACAAAATGGCCACTCCTTAACATAAGACCTAATAAGAGATTCTCCATATGCGGAGTTAATTTTTAGATTTGTTTATGGCTCAGGGTGGTTAGTAAAACTTGATAACTTGGTAACTCATTAAACCAAGTAATTGCAACTTGCTGCCATTGTGAAATATAATATTTTGAAATTGGGTCCAGCATTTTGAAACACCCTATCATTTGGTACCTCTGTTGTTGCAATCAGAATGACTTTGCTCAGCGCACTTTGTCACCAGTCACCCTAAATCTGGTCTCTAAATGATACTTCATGTCATGTTTAACATATTGTTTTCAGTACATTCTTTTTATCTCCTTTGCTGTGTCTTGGATTGACTGCCTTTTCAAGAATACACAAAAAGAAGTGTCCTTGTTTGCTTGATTAACTTGTGTGGATTTGGGTTTTTTGGATTTTAGTAATATGTTCTCTCTAGTAAACGCTAGGTCTTCCATCTATGGCAGTGATTCTTAACCTGTGAGTCCGCAGGTGTTTTGGCCTACAAGTCCCAAAAATCCCAGTCTTTTTACCAGCTGTTAGGATTTCTGGGCATTGAAGGCCAAAACATCTGGGGATCCACAAGTTGAGAATCACTGATCTGTGGTCATTGTCTGGCAGAAGCTGACCATGGAGTCATGTTTGAGAACCTAGAGATTCCTAGAAAGATGGCCTCTCAGGTAAAAAACAATGACAACAATTATTTTCTTTGTGGTTTTCCCACTATATCATATGTGTTACTTTCAAGTTACTAGTTTTTCTATATCTCCAGAATAAATAGCATTCACAACTTAAATGTACATCATGAAAATGACACCTTGAAGAGTGAAATAAAAGAAATAGAAATGATGAAGAGATTCAAAGTTTTGCATGTATAGAGCTTTATTAGAGCTTGTTTGCGTTTCATGCAAGTTTTATGCTATTTTAGTACCTTGAAAGAGAATCTCTGCAAGTAAATGGTCATGAAGTTTGCCCTGCCTGGATGTTTACTGCCTAAGCACCTGTTTAAGAGCCCATAATAGTTAACCTTTTTTCAAAAAAAAATTCCTGACTGTCAAATAATTCAGACTGTGCTGGATTCCACGATCGTGTTTTTTTGAAGACTCAAATTTTCAGTGTGGAAGTGAAGAAAAGAGGTTTTTGTGACGGGAGTATGAAGACAACCTTCCATGAGTCACCAGTTGCTTATGCATCTATTTTTGCCTCCTTCATATTGAAGTGATATTTTCCCTCCTCTTTCATTCCCAGGCCAGACCATTCTAAATTCTGATAAAAATAATAGAAATGCTATTAAATAGATTTCCTGCTTTACAAAAAGATGAGATTGTTAGAACCAGAAAATATACATGGCTTTTAGTTATAGTACTGGAATTTCTGGTTCCATTTATAAATATTTCTCTAAGAAACTTGGCAATCCAGAAATTGTCATTTAAAAAGTTCTAAAACCTGGATTAGTTAAAAGGACTTTTAAGTAATAAAAATTGATTGAATGGACAACTTCGTTCTTCTTTCCTGCGTATTAGGTTGTGGCTCTGTGTTAAATGAAAAGGGTAAAGTAGAAATGGATGCCATTATCATGGATGGAAAAAATCTGAGCTCAGGAGCAGTGTCTGCAGTGAAATGTATAGCCAACCCCATCAAGCTTGCTCGTCTTGTCATGGAAAAGGTATGTAGAACAGTCACTTGAACAAACTCCCTACCCTTTTCCCTTTGGACTGTTATATACTGTTAGGCTTCATTGCTTGTGTCTCCAGCTCAACCTAATCACTCTCTCCTTCCCAAGCCCCCAATTGAGCTTCTTTCTCTACAAATACCAGCGAGAGATTGATAACACTATGTAACAAAATTTGAAAAAAAAATCTGTTCCTGGATTGAAAGTGCTATTTTCTGTTTAATTGTGTGGTACCATATATACTCGTGTATAAGCCGAGGCACCTAATTTTACCACAAAAAACTGGGGAAATGTATTGATTCGAGTGTAAGCCAAGGGTAGGAAATGCAGCAGCTACTGGTAAATTTCAGAATAAAAATAGATACTAATAAAATTACACTAGGCATCAGTAGGTTAAATGTTTGTGAATATTTACATAAAACTGTAATTTAAGTTAAGACTCTAACTCTGATTAAACCATTATTCTAATCTTCTACGTATCCTTTCAATAATAAAAGATTAAAATAATAAATGTAATAATAATAATAATAATAATAATAATAGAGTAAAATAATAAATGTAATGATAATAATAAAAGAGTAAAATAAGAAATAATTGTTGGGGATAGTAGACATTATAGTCAGAACATCTGGGGGGCTCTAACTTGGGGCAGATCTCTTCTTTCGGACCGGTCCGATCTATCCCACTGGTAGATCTATCCCACTGTTGTTGACACTGTCTGGCAGTTTTTAAGAACCATGCAGGAGTTTCCCATCCTTTCCTATAAATACCAAAATTGGACCTGGAACCTTTGACATATGAAGTATATGTTCTTATCATTGAGTTGCATCTCTCTCTCTTCCTTTCCACCCTCTTGTGATCTCCCAAACCTTGCAGCTAGGAGACTGCTTGTCTCGCAATATGAACTGGCAGAGTGTCATTCTACCTGCCTTCAGGATAGTGAGGCACCATTTGCTGCTTAGAGAAAGCCAGCACCAGAACAGACAGGCCTGCCACTTCTAATGTAGTACTCCTTATACAGAGAATGCTTTGTAACTCTTACCTCAATCAGCCTCGCTGTTCCCAGTGACACAGGTAATTTGTGTCCATTTTACAACTGAGGGATGAGATTAGAAAAGTAAATGACTCAACAAGAATGCTACTGTATTTATCTGACCTGGCTTATGAAACTAAATCTCTTGTAGACAAATCAACTAAACATGCTACAATGGTTTAATTCCAATATATCAGGGTTTATAATAATAAAACTTTATTTATACCCTGCCACCATCTCCCGAAGGGACTCTGGGCAGCTCAGAAAGCACTCAAAGGTGCAAAAATACAAAATACAACAAGTGCATAAATAATATCACAAAAGCAATAACAAACAACACAACATCATCAACCCCCACTGGTTAAAATTCAACAATACCTGCAGTTATAAAACAAACTGCAATAAATAAGTCTCATAAAGTGCAAGGTGAAATAATTTCTGGGTCCTCAAATATGTTCATTAAGGATTTCTAAATATGGTCAAAGACTTGTCTCAAAAGCCATGTCTTCAATTGTGTTTGGAAGGCTTGGAGAGTGCGGGCTAGCCTGATCTCTCTTGGGAGGACATTTGAAAGCCGGGCCTGGGGGCGGGGGAGCACCAAGAAGGCCCTCTCTTTTGTCCCCTACAACTGTGCTTGAGACAGAGGTGGGACTGAGAAGAGGCCCTCCCCAGCAGATCTCAGAGCCCACGCTGGTTCGTAGAAGGAAATGCAGTCTCAAAGATAGGTTGAACCTGAACTGAATAGGGCTTTATAGGTAATAACCTGCACTTTGAATTGAGCCCAGAAACTTGTCGGCAGCCAGTGGAACTGCTTTAATAGGGGTATTGTATGCTCCCTATAAATAGCCCCTGTTAGTAATCTGGCACTAATCTTTACACTAATTGCAATTTCTAGGCCATCTTTAAAAGCAGCCCCCTATAGAGTGTGTTACAGTAGTCCATTCTAGATGTAACTAAAGCATGGACCACCATGACAAAGACAGGCTTTTCGAGGTACGGTCCCAGCTGGCGTACAAGTTTTAACTGTGTGAAGGCCCTCCCAGCCATCGTCAACACCTGAGCTTTGAGCATCAGCAATGAATTCAGGAGAACCCCCAGACCGTGTCCTCAGGGGGAGTATAACCCTGTCGAGCACAGGTTGCCACCCTATACCCTCACAACTGACTGGGAGGACCTCTGTCTTGTCTGTATTGAGCCTCAGTTTGTTGGCTCTCATCCAGTCCATCACAGCTGCCAGGCACTGATCCAGAAACCAGGGAGCTTCCTTGGAATTTGGTGGAAAGGAGTAATAGAGTTGTGTGTCATCTGCGTAGAGATGGCATCCAACTCCAAAACTCCAGAAGTGAAGACAATGTGCTGGTTTTATTATTATTATTGTATATTTATAGAATGTACTTCTGAGTTGCTCTTTCAATTTTTTTAAATAAAGAAGAATTAAAATTAGGAAAGGCCAGAGAATCAAGTTACCCCAATATTTCACTTTTATCATTTAATGGTGAGGGAAATATGGGTTCATTCAGAGGGATTTGAAGTCCTTGAAATTTGTTTTAGAGAGAGAAAACCCGAGCCCTACATGCAATTGTTCCCAGATTATACTCATATTTTAAATCTAAAGATTTGGTATATCCAGCATGTTGGCTGACCAGACACTGACCGTTCCAGGTCTGCCTTCTGAAAGCCAGTTGATCAATAGCCGCAGCTGATGTGGATCCGCAGTTTAGAAGCAAAGTGAAAATAAAGCTATTGCCACAAAACAGGCACTGATTAGGCAGGCTTTTAGCAACTGCTGTTGAAACTGAAAAACTGACATACTAAGGTGTATCCAAAACTCTTTGAACAACTACTTTCTTCACAAAAGATCTGAGATAATACACGAGGAATCCTCTTTGAATTGCTGGTTGAAGTTGTCAGCTTTCAAGTTTTAGGATGATGAGGCTTCATGCTTGTGCAATTACATTCTGTTCATTTTGTGCAGTTTTCTGTTCATAGTTTGTGAACTATTGTTTTCATTTCAAACTGTACGTTGACACCCAAAAAGACAGAAAAGCCAATTCTTATGTGGTTCATTTGCAGAATCAGTTAACTCTGAGTGCGAATTTCCTTCCCTACATAAGAATTTGCAAGCAAAATAGATATGTACTTTTAAAGCACTATTGTGTTTTTATTAGATGTATACATCACACTTTTTCTGCAAGGAGGTCAAGGTGTTGTACATGGTGTCTTTCCCCTGTTTGCGCACCCTGCATCTTATCCTCACAATAACCCTGTGATGCAAGTCTGAAAGATTACTTTTCCCCAGGTCCCTGTTGAGATTCGTAGTTGAATAAGAAGTTAGCATTACTTACTTCTGCCACAATCTCTTTCCATCATGCAACAAAAAAGTAGGTTCCATGGAAGGAAAGTTAGTGGTGCAATCCAGGCATTTTGATAAACAGTGTCTGATATATTTTCAGAAATTATTCCTGGGTCCCTAAATAACAATTAGCACAACCCATAGTTAGAGTGATAATTACTACAGCAGAAGTAGGTGAGCTATGGAATTCAGTACAGATAATTCCACCCTTGAACACCTTGTCTTGTTAACTTTAGGGAAAGTAATACTTGATTTGCTTTGTTTTCTTGCTTAGACAATACGAAATACTTTTAATAAAACCACATTTCATTTGGATTGTTACAATAAATTTTATACAAGACTGTCTCTGAAGACTATTTGGAAACTACAGCAGCTAGAGTGCTGGCATGATGTGGATGTGTATGAGACAGTACCTGGCATAGTCTAAGGGCCCTTCCATACAGGCCCTATATCCCAGGATCTGGTCCCAAGTTTTCTATTTACCTCAGATTATCTGACAGTGGGGACTCACGTGGGATCAGATCCTGGGATGTAGGGTCTGTCTGGAAGAGTCCTCAAATCCTAAGAGATGCCTTATAAAATCTAAAGAAGCAATAACAGTCAATAAAAGCAGAGAAGTTCATTGTACCTTCAGTGATCTAAAGGTATTTTGTTTTTTTTATTTGTATATTGCCTTTCTCCTCAATATAAAACATATATGAGTGGCTAAATATCATCATATCATCTTGGCTGAGTTTGATTATCTTCAAAGGGTAGGGTCTTGGTGGTCGGTCTGTAAGTGACTGTAGAGACCCATTCTGGATCTGCATGGTCTTTTGCAGAGAGGACATACATTTCTAGATGGTAGGCAGTCCTAACAGGGGTTAACTTGACGCGTCTTCCTCTTGGCAAGTTTCCCCCTTTCTCCCTTTATTTGTGTCTCTTCAAAATCCATAGCACTGTTGGTAGCAGCTGACTTCCAATTACAACACTTGACTGCCAGAGCTCCCCAGTTCTTGATGTTTATTCCACTTTTCTTTGGATTAGTTTTAAGCCCATCTTTAAATCTCTTTTGCTGTCCACCTTGATTCCATTTTCTGTCTTGAGCTGAGAGTAAAGTAACTGCTTTGGGAGATGGTGATCGAGCATTTGGACAATGTAGCCAGTCCAGCGAAGTTGATAGCAGAGGATCTTCAGTTCTGGTGGTGTTTGCTTCTTCCAGCACAGATGTTTGTCTGCCTGCATATATGTAACAGTCTTTTTACTTGTTGACAACCAATCTGTGACCTCTTATGGTTTATTATTAACTTGAGATTGCCTTCAAAGCTACATTTTGCAAACTCTTTCAGACTACATCTAGTCTGAGTTGACTTTTCTTGTTTCCTGACTTTTGGTAGTCTTTCATGTATGTTTGCTTTTTTGTTTATGACAGAGCTTTCCAAACATTTTGTGTTAGTGACACACTTTTTAGACTTGCAACATTTTGTGACACAGTCATTCAGTTTTACTGCCAAACTTGAGGTTAAACCAACACATGTAAGAGATATGGAATAACAACAACAACAACAACAACAACAATAACAATAATTTTATAAACCGCCCCATGTTCCCAAAGGGACTCAGGGTAGTTTCCTACATGTATGGCAAACATTCAGTGCCAGAAGGGGAAAAACATAAACTTTAATAACGAAATGTATGGGGACACAACTGTAAAAATAAGTGATTTATTGCTTATTTCACATAGACTCAGGGGTTTCTCAGTATGATTGCATGACACACTAATGTTTCACAACTCACTGTATGGAAAGCTTTGGTTTATGGTATTATTTCTTATAGAACTACATACATAGTTACCTTCTCATCGTTTGTCAAACAGTATATAGTTTACATCTATATTTTGGTACATTTGTATTTTGATATTACTTTGTTACATCTATTTTTGTTTTGTTATTTTTTTATAAATTTATGGGAATTTTGTTGTATGTCATAAAAGGTTTAAGGATTCATTTTATTTTTGTTTTAAATTTAAAATTTTGTATCAAATAATCTTTGCTCCTCTTGCAAGTTCCACCCTAAACAAGAAAAATAAATAATAATTCTAATTATCTGTATTTGGCCATGACACAATATTGGCTCCATCTGGTGGCAAAAATGTTTTTTTCCCCTCCACATTTTGTCCAGCAACACCCAGGAGTTTAGCCTTTTAAATAGTCCACTGAGATACAATTCATTATGCTGCTCAGGCTGTTTCCACTCATGAACTAATAGTTCCTCATAAGGACCAAACTGTTAAATGGTTACTTTTGGAAATCTGACAAAATCTGGAGATTTCTGTAGCATGCTTTTATTATTTCCATTGAGAAAAGAAACAATAACCAAAAATATATTTTCACAAGATAGGGTAGCTTATTCTTTCTGGCCACAAAATAATAATTGTGCTGTGTTATCTTGAGACTACATTGCTTAACATAGCATGAGCATTCAGAGAACATAGATTGTTTTGGATGCACTCCAGCGCAGAAATTAATTTTTTGGCAAATTAGATTTTGGGAGCTATATTACAAAAAAGGCAACTATCTCAGTGTGTTGTTTCAGGCTTTCATGGCCAGAATCACTGGGTTGCTGTGAGTTTTCCGGGCAGGATGGCCATGTTCCAGAAGCATTCTCTCCTGACGTTTTGCCCACATCTATGGCAGGCATCCTCAGAAATTGTGAGGTCTGTTGGAAACTAAGCAAGTGAGGTTTATATATCTGTGAAATCAGGGGCGGCTCAACCCATTACGCAAAGTAAGCATTTGCAGTATAGTTGATTTTGCCAAGGGGCGCTCTTGAGGGAAAATGGACCTTGACATATGCGAGTTGTAGTTACTGGGATATATAGTTCACCTACAATCAAAGAGCATTCTGAACTCCACCAGTGATGGAATTGAACCAAATATGGCACGCAGAACTCCCACGACAAACAGAAAATATGTATCAGTGTTTGGTTGGGGGGGAGGCAAAATACTGTTTGCTTACCATTGAAAATTACCTAGGGACGCCTCTGTGTGAAATGTCCAAGGTGGGAGAAAGAACTTTTGTCTGCTCAAGGCAGGTGTGAATGTTGCAATTGGCCGCCTTGAATAGCATTTAATGGCCTTGCAGCTTTAAAGTCTGCTGATAGCTGCCTGGGGGGATCCTTTGTTGGGAGGTGTTAGCTGGCCCCAATTTATTCTTGTCATGCCTCAGTTTTCATGTCATTTGAATATATGTGACTAGAATCATGAGCTACCCAATTTTATGTGAGGCAATTTCTGAATGGAGCTTTTTATTGCAAAGTGCCACAATGCTCCCTGTTTCCAAGTAGCAAGGCAATTAATTGATGTCCATTTGTGAGACTACTACAAAAAGTCTAAACACTGGTCTAATGCATTGTTAAAAAAAACTTTATTGTCTTCAGTGGGAATTTGGATCCATGTTTGGCTTTTATTTGCTTGTGCCTTAAGGTACATAGTTGAAATACATGGTAGCTGATGGTGGTCAATGTAGGATGACTAAATATTGTCTGACTGGCTGCTAGAAGATGGAGGTAAAGGTAAAGGTTTCCCCTTGACATTAAGTCTAGTCATGTCTGACTCTGAGGGGTGGTGCTCATCTCCATTTCTAAGCCAAAGAGCCAGCGTTGTCCATAGACATCTCGTAGGTCATGTGGCCAGCATGACTTCATGGAGCGCCGTTACCTTCCCACCAAAGCGCTACCTATTGATCTACTCACATTTCATGTTTTCAAACTGCTAGGTTGGCAGAAGCTGGGGCTAACAACGGGAGCTCACCCCATCCGCATATTCAAACCATCGACCTTCTGGTCAGCAAGTTCTTCAGCTTAGTGGTTTAACGCGCTGTGCTACCATGGAAGATGGAGGACTTCTTCCATTTAATTTGTAGAAAGCCCATTTTATAGTATTCGGGATGTTTTTATATCTTATTTCCTTTACAATACTTGCATTTTATTTTACTATATGGCTTGTTTTTATTGTTGTTGGGTGTATGGTTGGCCACTGTGCTATAAATATTTGGAATTCTCTGAAACCAGATAGAAGCCATAGAGTGAACCTGCTGGTGTTTGTTTTTGTAGGGGCAGGAGAGGGCAGTGTTGCATCAGAGAAGATGCATTTGTCTATTTGTGGGCTGGAACATTCCAGACTTGTAAGAGCAAATTGTCCTTCTACTTTACTGATATATGTTCCAGGCATAGGTAACACCATCTTACAGTCAGTGTTGTACTTTACTGAAGAACCCTAACTCTTCTTTTTCAGACTACAAGGGAGGACCTTATCTCTTAGGGCCCTTCCATACAGCAATATAACCCAGAATATCAAGGCAGAAAATACCACAATATTTGCTTTGAACTGGGTTATCTGTGTCCACGCTGCCATATATTCCAGTTCAAAGCAGAAAATGTGGGATTTTTTTTATTTGTGTGGAAGGGTCCTTAGTTTCTATTTTAGAAAGGAGGGGGTCCTTTTGCTTCTTGATATCAAGGAATTCATCTTGACAAGGAATATCCCTGGAATATCAATATTCCTTGGTATAACTAGAATGCATTGTTCAATCCACAGTAGCAAGGGACCTCATATGGATAGAAAGACTACAGAACCCTAAAGTTGCCCAACCTTGACAACAAGGCTGTCACCTTGTTGACTGGGCTGTGGCGCAGCTAGTTAGTAGCCAGCTGCATTAAATCACTACTGACTGAGAGGTCATGAGTTCGAAGCCAGCCTTGGTCAGAGTAAGCTTCTGACATTAATAGTCTAGCTTGCTGTTGACCAATGCAGCCCGAAAGACAGTTGCATCTGTCAAGTAGGAATTTTAAGTACCAGTTTATGCGGGGAGACTAATTTAACTAATTGATGACACCATAAAACCTTCCAGCAACATGCAGAAGAATGAGGAAGTACTCCATCAAAGGACTCGGTGTCACAAGTGGATGGTGAAGCGGCAGCTCCCCCTGTGGCTGGATTCGAGCATACACTCATGAAGCCAGAAAAGCTGGAACGTTAAATTGCCTCTGTGTCTGTCTATATATGTTAAATGTCTAAATGGCATTGAATGTTTGCCATGTATATGTGCATTGTAATCCATCCTAAGTCCCCTGTGGGGTGAGGAGGGCAGAATATAAATACTGTGAATAAATAAATAAACATCCCACATTTCTATAAGGAATAATTGAGGATATGTTTCAGAGACTGACATTTTGATTCATATCTTTGAACCTGAACTCTAGAAAATAAATGGTAACAGAAATGGCGACAGCCCTCTCCATATCCATGTCTTTTTCTTTCTGAAATCTAACATGGGGAACAAAGAGCATCATTTTTGTATTTTGCTTCTTCTGTGCACCGTCAATATATGTTTTTTTTTCCTGATGCTTCCAGTGGAACGGAATCCAGAATCACTTTAATATATCACGAGAGACATCTCTCAAAAGAATTAGATTTTGTTTTCCGTGGCCTGCTTGTAAGTTCTTCTTTGACTGCAAAGTGGAATACAGAATGTGTATTTATTCAAATACGTTTCTCATCACATTCTTTTCCCAGTGTTCCTTTTGTGAATTGTAATGACAATAATGTTAAAAAATGCTAGTGCTAAAGTAACATCAGATTTGCCCAAGCTCCCTTAGTGTGAATGAGAGTTTGGGAGCAGGGCTGTGGGGGTATAGAAACTTGTGCAATATTTTCACATAGCGGCTAATATCTTGTCTCCCTCAGACGGACCACATGTTGCTGACCGACCAGGGAGCCCTTGCCTTTGCCAGGGCCATGGGAGTTCCTGAGGTTCCAGGAGAGAAATTAATTACAGAAAGGTCACTGGAGAGATGGAAGAAAAACCTTGAGGCTGATTCAAACCCTCAGGAGTTCCAAAAGCAAGTATAAAGGTTGGGGAGGGGAAAGTTCTGCCTGACTGAACAAAGCAGATTAAAACATTGCAAAAAATTTTAGAGAAATGGCACGGTGTGGCTGGAATTCATGGCTACTAATCAAAATAGTATTATTCAGCCTCTGGACTCAGAAGGTTGATTCATCAGGGCTGTTATCGTGTCCTTAAAATATATGTAGAAACTTCAGCCAGCAACACTCCTACCAGATGTCAATTCTGATTTTAACATCAGACTTTGCCGCTTATAAAATTCAGCCTTCTTGCTGACAAATGGTCACCAGCTGCCTCCAAACCAGATTCTTTTGGGATGCAATACTATCCAAAGTGTGGAAATGCTACTTTTTGAGATGGGAGCTTATTGAATTCTCCAGCCAGCAATGGTGAAGTGATTCTGGCAAGTTTAGCCGCTGCCACCACCATCCCAGGACTGTATTACTGTGGATTGTTAAAAATTGTGTTTTTTTAAAAATCCTTTTATAAATCAGATCATTTTAATATTGTTAATAATTGAATCCTGTATTAGCATTAGTCTCTTGTATGCTTTTATGGTCCTCTATATCCACAGATTCTGTAGTCATGGATTCAACCATCCACAGCCCTGATAATACTTCAAAATTCTCAAATACAAATGTCTATTTTGCCATTTTATGTAAGGGGCAGCATTTTACTATGTCATTGTATATATAATTTGAGTATCCATGGATTTGGGTATCCATACCCATCATTTACTACAAATCCACTATACAGTGATCATTTACAATTGGCTAAGCTAGAGGAATGAGTGAGGGGTGCATAAAGCTAATATAATAGCGGTTTTCCAAGCTCTACACTTGCCTGGGAGAAAGTGTTATGAAACCCAATATGTTTTATATGTGAGTAGCTGTGTGTAGAATTGTGTTATTATAGGGTTGCTGTGAGTTTTCCAGGCTGTATGGCCATGTTCCAGAAGCATTATTTCCTGACGTTTCACCTGCATCTATGGCAAGTATACTCAGAGGTTGTGAGGTCTGTTGGAAACTAGGCAAGTGGGTTTATATATCTGTGGAAAGTCCAGGATGGGAGAAAGAACTTTTGATTGTTTGAGGCAGTTGTGAATGTTGCAATTAGCCACCTTGATTAGCTTTTCAGCTTCAAGGTCTGGCTGCTTCCTGCCTGGGGGAATCCTTTGTTGGAAGGTGTTAGCTGGCCCTGATTGATTCATGTCTGTTTTCTGAGTGTTCCTCTTTATTTACTGTCCTGATTTTAGAGTTTTTAAATACTGATAGCCAGGTGTAATATAATTAGCGACTGACCATAGGTTAAATATATCAATGACCGATGTTATTGGTAGATATGGCTGCCACCACCTCAGTTTTATTGGTCTGAGGAACCAAAGGTGTGAATGTGTTGTAGGTAAGGTGTGTTTGCCCTTAGTTCTTCTGTAACTGCTTTACTGGATGACTGGACTCTAAAAGTGTTTGACAGACTGAGGCTGACAATAGTTAAAAGTGAACTAGAAAAGGTTTATTGAACTTTAAAACAAATATCTACTCATAGAATGAGCGGTCCAGAAGCTTGGTTCAGTTTGTAGAGACTTAGTTGGGTTAAACAGCTAGTTCTACTAACAATAAAGCTTTTATTAACTGCGAGTTTCCTTAAGCACACTGTTCTATTCTTAGAAACAGTATCACTTCGAGAACAGACTCCTATCTGTTTCACACACAGGGCAATAAGCTCCCTTAAACTTCTCCTAAGTCTAAGTAGACAAGTCTTTCTGTTACTGATCTTCTCAATACAGTAACCCTAGCCCTTATCTGCGACTTATTCCCTATCCTTAAGGCTCACTTTAAAGCTTTCTTTCCTGTCAGAACTCTATCTAGCTTCCTCTCCTAAAAATCCCTTCCTTCTGTGTCTGATGTCAAGACACTTCTCTCCCTGTCAAAAGCTGACAGCCTCTTTCCCTCTCTCAACCGACTCCTCCCCTAATTGCTCCCACCAATCAGGAGTCGGCTTGACTCCTCCTCCTGCTTCTGCCTGTCTTCCAAGATGATAGCTACTGGCCTACAGGCTTCGGCCTAGTCGCCTTAAAGGTAAATTTCACTACACCAGGTTTTATTCATTTTCATGGTTTCGTCCTTTCTGTTGAAATTTCCCACATTCTTGTGGATTTTAATGGCTTCTGTAGTCTGACATGGTAGCTGTTTGAGTGGTCCAGCATTTCTGTGTTCTCAAATAATATGCTGTGTCAAGGTTGGTTCATCAGGTGCTCTGATATGGCTGACTTCTCTGGTTGAATTAGTCTGCAGTGCCTTTCATGTTCCTTGATTCATGTTTAGTTGTTGCTAAAAAATACCCCAACAAAGGATTCCCCCAGGCAGTAAGTAGGCAGACCTTGAAGCTGAAATACTATTCAATGCTAATCAAGGTGGCCAATTGCAACATTCGTACCTGCCTCAAACAGACAAAGAGTTCTTTCTCCCACCCGTGACTTTCTACAAATATATAACCCCCAATTGCCTAGTTTCCAACAGACCTCACAACCTCTGAGGATGCCTGCCATAGATGTGGGTGAAACATCAGGAGAGAATGCTTCTGGAACATGGCCAGACAGCCTGAAAAACTCACAGGAATCCAGTGATTCCGGCTATGAAAGCCTTTGACAAAAGATGTGTTATTACAGTCTGTATGCCGCCCCTCCTTTCCCTGAGACCATTTATGTGGCATCTTCTAGGCTCTTTTTCCATACCTTTTTTTCAGTTTCATCTGAATCCTTTTCCTGCAGATTCTTGTTTCTCTGTTCCCTTTCCTTGAGACATTGTGATCAAACTAGAAAGAAATCCCTAATGCAGGAAGCCTACAAGCCAGATTTCCTGATTGGGTTTCCTTCTTCACAAATGATCACAGCAACCATAGTGGGGTGAGATGTGGGGCTTCAGGTCAGACTAGGTTTACACCAGCAGGAAGAGTGATTTAATCCTTTCTTCTGGATGAAACTCTCACTTTTCAAACAGCTGCTATTTGCTGTGTGGGGCATACAGCTTATCAAGCACCTGCAGCTGCCCAAAGGAATTGCAAGGAATGGAGGAATGAGTGTAGTGCAAAGAGAAAGGTGCCATTTGTGCTGAAACTCTTAAAGCAAACTACTGCAATTGATTTGATAGCACAATTTTTATTCCGGTGATCACAGCCTTATTGCAAATGAGACTGGCTCATTTCCAAACTCAGAAATGCATTAACCTTTATGTTATTCCTTAACATATATGATATTGCCTACATTAAAATCTGTGCCTTTGGTCCAAAAATGTCTTTTGTCTCACCATACCTGAGAGAACAGACACTTTGTTCCTTTGGCAAATGTGCTCTGATCTTCAGCTAATTGTTTGAAATGCTGTTTTTGGCAGAGACCTTGGAACAGTTGGAGCCGTTGCTATCGACAGTGCAGGAAATGTAGCTTGTGCAACATCAACAGGGGGACTTTCTAACAAACGGGTTGGCCGCGTTGGTGATACAGCCTGCATAGGTAGGCAGGAATGGTAAATAGAAGCCAAGTCTTCCTCTTGTATAAAATGCATGATGCCACTCATTATTTAATAATGCTCAAAGCCTGTGATGTGAGGAATTGGGATGAGGTCCTTGCAGTTCCTCTAACAGCCATTCCTGCTGCCAAAGAGGCAAGTGACTTTTAAAAACTGGCAAGTACAGAAGCAGAAAGATGAAGAAGTCTTTGGGGCTTGCAGAGGGGAGAAGTCTGTGCTTATTGAAGTGCGTATTTTCCTGAAATGTTTTCTTTTTCTTAGTTTTTCCATACTAAACATCATACTTCAAATAAGAGTAGAAAAGGGAAATATGGTGAGATTTATTCAGGTACAACTTAAAAGTTGTCCTCTGAAAGCACTCTTCTCCTGGAGGCAAGCTAAGTAGCTCTCATTTGAGAAAATAACAGAGTGTTCTAAAAAGTCTCATAAAACTCTCAAAGTGTATTTAAATATGTAAAATACTCAATGAGTATTGAAATAATAATAATAATGATACACTTTATTTATATTCTGCCCTTCTCCCCTAGGGGACTCAGAGCAGATTCCAGCATTTACAGCAGACATAGGCAAACATTCAATGTCTTACAACAGTGGTTCTCAACCTGTGGGTCTCCAGATGTTTTGGCCTAGAACTCCCAGAAATCCCAGCCAGTTTACCAGCTGTTAGGATTTCTGGGAGTTGAAAGCCAAAACCTTTGAGGACCCATAGGTTGAGAACCACTGCTTTACAATCACATGAAATGAAACACACATACACAGACAAAGGCAATGGCTTCTCCTTTAATTTCTGGCTTCTGAAGGCAGTGCGCATCTCAGTCTCTGGGGGAGATGCTTTTTCACTATTTTCAAGCCAAGAGGCCTTCCATTGTCGTGACCAGCAAGACTTCTTTGAGCGTCTTTTTGCCTTTTCCTGTTGAAGCAGTACCTATTTATCTACTCACATTTGCATGTTTTCAAACTTCTAGGCTGATAGGAGCTAGGGCTCAGCCTGCTCTCTGGATTCGAACTGCCAACCTTCAGGTCAGCAGTTCAGCAGCACAAGGGTTTAACCCATTGTGTTACCACAGATACAGCTTTCCTTAAACAGAAAAGATTCCTCATTTTGTGCATCTAATTGAAATTTCAGGTAAAAAATATTCCAAATCATAGTTAGATTTTAGATGGAAAAAATAATACTTTTGTCTGAAATTGCAATGGCCTTCAACCCACTAGATATTTTTATGCTTGTATTCAGAGCCAGTGTTAATCTGGCATGTTGATGGAGTTCCAGGAAATGTTAGCATTGCCTACTGTTTAATTTTTATTTATCAACATACAACTAAGAGCTTTTGTGCGTGCATGCATGTGTGAAGTGCTCCTCAAAAAGTCCTCCTTGTAATACAGTATTTGTTTGTTTAACAACTCTTGCTCGTTTTGTATGGACTCAGTGAGAGGCTGACAGGAGGCTGGGAATAAAAAATATATAAGAATAATAGAAGAGAAATGTGTTTGGAGGCAGCACCATTTTTAATTGGACATTTTTCTACACCTTTCGCCTCTTTTCCCTGACATAATTTTGTGTGGGTAATCATCAATAGATGGCTCCCTGGGGCATGGCGGGGTAAACCGCTGAGCTTTTGAACTTGCTGACCAAAAGGCTGGCAGTATGAATCCGGGGAGCAGGGTGAGCTCCCGCTGTTAGGCCCAGCTTCTGTCAACCTAGCAATTTGAAAACATGCAAATGTGAATAGATCAATAGGTACTGCTTCCGCATGAAGGTACTGACCCTCCATGCAGTCATGCCAGCCACATGACCTTGCAGGTGTCTACAGACAACGCTGGATCTTCGGCTTAGAAATGGAAATGAGCACCACACTCCAGAGTCAGACACAACTAGACTTAATGTCAGGGGAAACCTTTGCCTTTACTAATCTTTAATATACAGTACGCTGTGTTTCAATTTTTGTAGACTGAATTACCCACAGAGTCCTACTATGTATTGAAAAATCACCCACATTCAGATGTCAATATCTCATTAAAGACATTAATGGGGAGTACAAAAAAATCACAGAAGACAAGACATCCATTCCCAACAAACATTTTTACTGGGTTTTTCCCCCCAGAAGATTTAGCCATTTGGCCAACAAATCAGTCTTCCAATTCAACCAGTCTCAGTAACTGACTGTGAAAATAACTTCCATTCTTTCAAGGTTCTGTATTGGTTCCATGATATCCATTTTGGCGTAATATAGAAATAACTAGTTGGCCTTTATCTTCATCCAAAGATAGAAAAAGTTATATTAGAGATTACAGTACCCAGAATCCCTCAACTAACTTGGCGACTGGCAGTGTGGGCTGATGGGGAATTCTGCAAGGCATAGCCACAAAATGTTGCTTTTCCAATTTTTGTCTTCCCTGTATTGCCTCATCCCAGTGTGACTAAGCATTCAAGCTGGCTACGTAGGGCATTACCTGCCAGTCCTTATAGAAAGTTCAACCAGTTATTAATGGGGCCACATAGCATCCTGACATCTGAAACAGCTGCTTAGAATTAATTGGGACTTAAGACATGCCAGTTCACGTTTTTCTCACTGGAGAGCAAATTAGTCCTGTCTCCCTATAATTCTTACTTCTACATAAATTGAATTTATGTGGAAGCTGGTTTTGAAATATTTTTTCCTAGTCCATTTGGATACCATCATCTAATGTCTTTTACTTTTTGTTTTTTGATCAGGAAGCGGGGGTTATGCTGATAATGCCGTTGGTGCCACTTCGACCACAGGCCACGGAGAGAGCATTATGAAAGTGGTTCTGGCAAGACTTACCCTCTACCACATGGAGCAAGGTAAAGCCTGGGGTTTTGTGGATCATAAATTACAAGGTGGAAGGAAGCTCCTATAGAAGCACAGAGCTACTACAATAGCAGGGCTGTTATGCAATATAGACCTACCTCCCTACACACAATTTGTTGGTAGCTACAAGTTAGATGTTGCTCAAATAGAGTCAGATAAGCAAAACTCAAAATATTCAGTGCCTAATCAATAGTCTATAAGGATATCATGATAGCATATAGTCTGAGTGTGCTACCACGTTTTGGGACTTTAACTCAAGCTTTCAAGACTAGTGCTTCTCATAATGCTAGACATATGAAACCTGCTCATGATTTGCAATAATCACTGAAGTCCTACAGTTTGACTTAGAGAAGTTAAGTTGGTATGTATGTAAGATATAAGGAAAAATTTCCTTCGCTCTCCCTCTCTTTATTTTCCTCATGGTGACATCCCTCCTCTTTCTCTCTCCTCTTTCTCGCCCTCCAAGCTTTCCCTCCTCTTTCCTGCTCATCTCCCCCCTCCCTCCCTTTCTGCCAAAAGCCTTTTCCCCTCAGCTCTCTCACCACCAAAGCAATTTTCCCTTAGCCATCTGTTGGGGGTGTTTGATTCTGCCTTTCCTGCATGATAGAATGGAGTTGTACTGGGTGGCCCTTGGGGTTGTTCCTATTATTGTTGTTGTTGTTATTTTAAGAGCTGGGTGGCCATCTGTTGGGGGTGCTTTGATTGTCTTTTTCCTGCATGGATTTCTCCTATTATTACTGTTGTTATTTTCATTTTAAGCTTGGCCGCCAATCACAATAAAAGTGGAAGCTGGTAGAGGAAAAGTTGTCCTGTATATGTCTTGAAAGTTGTCTTCAGGTAGTTTCTAGAAGGTTCAATTTGTTTTTGTTTTCTTGTGCAAGGTTTAGTTGATATGATTGCTTCATTTTGCATTTTATTTATTTATTTATTTATTGTGTCAGAAGTGAGTTGAGGGTACAGTTGAGGATATGTATTTTTCATTTTGCATGTGCATCATACTGATTTTGGATAAAAAGTCAACTGGAACATGTTGACCTGCTCTTCTTTTTCTATGACGCAGGAACTTATCCTTATTCTTCCCTCATTATGTCTACCTTCTGGTACCAGAGTTTCTGTTAAAAAAGTAATGGCCAGGAACACATCTGCTTCATTAACTCAGATATACCTGTGCACTTCTAATTGCTGAAGGGTCTGCGTCATTACTGGCATAACCTGTGACATCCTTTTAAACCATCAGTGTCTCTGGCTCTTTGAAAGGAAAGCTTTATGAATAGAAATGGAGTGGGCTGGTATGTGTATTGATCTGTGTATTAAGGAGGAGTGTGACTAAGATAAACAGCTGGCTACAAGATGTTCAAGGGTTTGAAACACAATCAGGTTACATGAAGCGCTGGAGAGCTTTACCTTCAGTGTTTCCCAAACTATGAATTTATATTACAGACTGTAAACAGAATCACTGACCTACTTCTCCTGAATAAAGTTATATGAAATGTGGCCATGGTTTTTCATACTAAGCCACAGCTACAGATCGTGGACCACAGCTATAATAATAATAATAATAATAATAATAATAATAATAATAATAATACTTTATTTATACCCCACCACCATCTCCCCGAGGAGACTTGGGGCGGCTTACATGAGGCCAAGTCCAACAATAATACATCAGTAAAAACAACACAGCAGCAAATAAAATACAACACAATACATTATAAATAACATATAAGCAATAAAACAGAAAATTTAAAATACAAGAATCCAACACTGTTGGCAGGGCCAAATGTAATAAATTAAAAATTCAGAACACTGGGTATGAACAGCAGTAGAGTATGTCTAAACAGGGTTTGTTTTTTGTTTTTTAGGGTAATGTAGTGGATTACTCCAACGGGTAGATAAAGTGCTTCAGAGGACATTTTGCAGAAAATTGGTCAGATCAGGGTATTGTTTCCTTTATTCAGGGAAGGCACATTGGAACAGCCAAGTTTTCAAGCGCCTCCTAAAGACTGCCAATGTGGGGACTTGCCTGATGTCCTTGGGGAGTGAGTTCCAGAGTCGGCGGGGCACACTAGAGAAGGCCCTCTTCCTCATCCTTTACCTTGAATTGGGACTGGAAAATGAACGGCAGCCAATGGAGCTCCTTAAACAGGGAGGTTGACTGCTCCCTGTAAGTCACTCCTGTTAATGATCTGGCTGCTCCCCATTGGTCCAATTGAAATTTCTGAGCTGTCTTCAAGGGCAGCCCCACAAACTGGCAACAATTAGATGCCGAACACACATAAATACATAACTTAAAGCAGGTTAAATCACATAATAATGGACTGAACGGAAGTGGAACTCACATATGTCTACCCACACCCCACCCCACCCCCTCTCTCTACCCTACCTTCTCTACCCTATCTTCCATCTTCCCTCCCCCTTTTCTTACCTACCCCTTCTCATCCCACACTGTCCGTCCAAATTCCGAAACTTTCTATCACAATGATTGTTCCCCCTCTTTCACTGTAAAGGAAAATTGAATAAAAATAATAATAATAAAATAAATAAATCACATAATAAAATTCATAATAAAACAGTTTAAAACTTATTTCCAACATTTCTATCCTGTCCTTCTCAATCCCGGAAGGGGGACTCAGCGCCGTTTACAATGGCAGCAATTCGATGCGGATGACATATAAAATACAATATAGCAACATTATGCAAGAGATAAAACATTAAATTAAAATACATTAAAACATCATTATTATTCATCATATCACCGAATCCAGATCTGATTTAGTGTTTGACGATTCAGTCCGAAGCCTGTCCTGTGTCAAGGTTCAAACATTGTGAACACTGCCAAGCCTACAGTCCAAATGCCTGGTCCCAAAACCATGTTTTTAATCTCTTTCTAAAAGAGAGGAGGGATGAAGCCGACCTAATTTTGCTATAACATATTAAAATTCATAAAACAGCATCATAAAACAACCAACCACATAATAATATAAAAACAACCATCAAACAACAACCAGTGTCCTGTAATAGTAACCGTTTCTGGGCTCAGGTGGGTGGGCTCGTGCAAATCCATTACAAGGACAGGGCTGATGGGTAAAGTGCAAATGGCAGATGACAAAATTAGGGATAGAGGGCAATATGAGGTGGAACATTATGTCTCTGGGAGGGAACAATAGTAAAGTGCAAGGACTAGATTTTAGGTCATAACTGGGGGCCAAACTTTTCTGGGGAACCGTCTAATTGAAAGCACAGTTCTTAGATCTTTGCGAAAGATGGACAGGGTGGGTGCCAGCCTAATCTCCCTGTGGAGAGAATTCCAGAGATGGGGAGCCACCACCAAGAAGGCTGTCTCCCTCATCCCCACCAGCCGCGCTTGTGACGGGGGTGGGAGCGAGAGGAGAGCCTCCCTAGAAGATCTTAGAGGCCGTGCAGGTTTGTTGGGGAAGATGTTATTATGAAGATAGGCAGAGATGTCAGCCAGACCTTTGAACTTCCAGTAAAACACTACTTGGTTGGCTTTGCATTGTTTTACAAATAAAGTTCATTTTAATTTGGCTTAGGTTGTGGACCGCAGCATTAAGGGGCAGATAGATAGAGGCCCCACTTTGATTTTCTTTTTTCTCTCTCTCTTACCAGGGTGTGTTAGATAAACTTTCCAAACCCATGAGGCATAATTCGGACTAGAGTGTCACAAGTGAAGAGCAGGTGCTCCATTGAAGGGTGTAAACTTGAACAATCCTTTTTCACAATTACTGGAATGTCTGGGAGTTATTATGGCAGCTGTTGCCGGATGAAAATATCTTCCCTGTTAGTGTTCATAAAGCCAGGAGCTTTGGCTGCTGAACATGAGAATAGTTTCCATTCTGGGATATTTGGGTTTCATTTTGTAAAGAAGGGCAAATTCTACAAGCTGGTTGATACGATTGTCTGGGTCATGGTGTCATGTCAGATGCAACACTGCCTCTTGAAAGAAATCCGAGGTTATAAATTGAAAAAGGCAATGTTATTCAGGGTGTTTCCTGTGCACATGTGCACACACACTGATTGTGTTCATGAGACATTTTTCTTTCTTTAGTTACAGCTGTCTTTGTTCACTTGGAAGCACTCACTTTGTAGAGTGACCAAAAATAAACATAAAACATGAACAATACCATACAGCAAGGCTTGGGTGGATTTGTATTCTGTAGAACCATAATTCCAAGTGATTCATCTCAGACTACCCAAAACTATAGTCACTTTTTAAACAAAAATAAGGAAAATACAGGTCAGATTTTGGGAGATGGCTAATGAGAGTTGTAGTCTTTAAAAAGTAACTTTTCCAAATTCTGGCAGAGTTTGTTCGTCATCTACTGATACAGTTGACTTTCGTCTCTTGCGTGTATAAACTTCCCTTTCCCACAGTCATTTATAGTATTCTGTCTGTCATTAGAACAGCTGGCCAATGCAACCCAGTTACGAGAAGTCCGTGGAATCTCTTTCATTTGGAGGCATTTAGGAAGAGGCAAAGAAGAATGACTGTTGGGCATTAACTAGGTTTAATGAAACACAGCTTGAAGCTTTATGTGGAGGCTGCGTAGACTCGTGTGACCTTGATTCTGTGATCAGATGAGGCATTTAGGAAGGGCGTTTTGCAATAATTCCTGCAGAAGGTGAAGCGGGAACTCAGGAGTGTTTGCATTGGCAGGAACCCAGAGTGTCTTAGCCCCAAACAAATGGAGGGGGGGGGGGTTGAACTAGTCCAGTGGAAATTTTTTTGTCCCCTTCCTTTGATGAACAGCTGTCAAATCATAAATGGCTTTGGAACCTCTCTTCAGTTTCAAAAGAAGTTTGTCATTGGTCTGAGAATTGATGTTTAGATTAAAGCAAGCCTCCTGTCTTGGTACTATGTGCAGAAGTTGTAACATAGTCCTTTGGATCATAACTGCCACTATTGATGTGCTAGCCACAACAGCCTGTTGTTGGATAATCTGACAAGATAAAAAGATGCTTGATTTAATTTTTTTAATTCAGACTTACCGTATATACTCGGGTATAAGCCGGGTTTTTCAGCCCCTTTTTTAGCTGCAAAAGCCCCCCTTGGCTTATACTTGAGTCAAAGTTGTTTTTAAATATATATATATATTATTCTATTATTAATCTCATTATTATTATTACATTTATTATTTTACTCTTATTAATGTTACATTCACATTATTTTACTCTATTATTATTTTATTACATTTATTATTTTACTCTATTATTATTACAGTTATTATTTTACTCTATTGATACTGTTATTACTTTTTATTATATTTATTATTTTACTCTATTATTATTGGAATTTACATTGAAGAAGGTTAGAATAATAGAGTTGGACAGTCATATCGTAAAGCTTTATGTAAATATTCAAAAACATTTAACCTACTGATGCCACAATTAATGTAATTTTATTGGTTTCTATTTTTATTTTGAAATTTACCAATAGCTTATACTCGAGTCAATACATTTTCCCAGTTTTTTTGTGGTAAAATAAGGTGCCTCGGCTTATATTCGGGCCAGCTTATACACGAGTATATATAGTAATTACTTTTACTTAAAATTTAAGGTAGTTCTCATGTGTTCTGATTTTAATTTTCAGGAAAGTCGGCAGAAGAGGCTGCCACTGAAGCCCTGAATAGCATGGAAACCAGAGTTGGAGGATTAGGAGGAGTGATAGTGGTCAGCCGTTCAGGAGACTGGGCAGCAAGGTTCTCCACGAAGCAGATGGCCTGGGCTGCAGTCAAAGATGGTCAGCTACAGAGTGGCATCTACACTGGAGAGAGGCACACACAACCAGTAGAAAAAGCTCTTAGTTCCATTGCATCCTAAACACAGAAAAGGAAATGGTGGTCTATGACAGAAAGAAGATTACAGACTGGCCCCTGATGTTGTTGAACTTCAGTTCCCATTATGCCTCCCAGTTGACGATGCCGGCAAGGACTGATGGAAGTTACAAGCTAGCAATCTTTGATGAGCCACATGTTCCATACGTCTGCTGGAGATTTTTTGTTGGAAACCGAAGTTGTTGTCCCTTTGAGACAACGTCAGTATTTTGACGTATGTTGTCCTTCTCCATACTTCCCTCATGGTCACTTCATCCCATAACCTTTTTTCTTCTTACTGCACTGTCTGCAGTAGAACAAGCTTTGGTATGAAGTTGTATCATAGTTTTATTTTAATGGAGTTGTATCATAGTTTTATTTGTATGTGTCCATATACAGTTATATTGTGTGCAGGCCTTTGCCTGTATTCTTACTGAATTCTTTCCACCTTATACCCTGGCTGACATCATATCAGGTGACAAGCAATAGACACTAGCCATGTGGTTACTACTGGGCACTGCTACAACAAGAACAAATGCTGTTCCATGTCGCTAGGCCACCAAGCCCAAGGAATATGTGTGGCCATGTAAACAGTTGCAGCCAGTTCCAGCTTTGAACTAGACCCTGTTTGCATGGGCCTGAGGTCGTGGTTTGCTCTGAGAAATTTTGGAGCAACCTGTGAATTTTGTTATTGAAGGCCCCATTAACCTGAATCAGCTCTCTCCATCATGCAGTTCCAGTTGGGAAGATGTGGTGAGCTCCCATCTGTTTCCTATGTGAGGACATGAGAGACACCTCCCATAGAATGGTAACACATCCGGGCATTCCCTGGACAACGTCTCTGCAGACTGCCAATTCTCTCACACCAGAAGCAACTTGCAGTTTCTCAAGTCTCTTCTGATATGATTTTTTAAAATATCATGCATCTGCCACAGAGATTATTCCTCTCCTACTTTGGGAAAAGGGCTCATGTAGATGTGCCCTAAGTCTTTGTACTGTTACATCCAGAAAAAAAATTAGGTGCTGTATAGATATATATCTGGACCGCTATAATTCAAATGAAAGCATTTTTCTCCCTGTTTTTAAAATTTCTAAATTTTTGTATTTTCATATCCTGGAAACAGTGATAGGCATGTTTGGCATGCAGGGAAATACAACAAAATTTAAAATTCAAAAAACAATGATAACTCTGTTTGTCCAACTAGAATACCCAAAACATTTTGAACTTTCACTAGCTTTTTCATCAGCAAATATGTTAAAAACCATACAAGATATGTGATAATGCTAGAGAGACTTGATACTAGTATTACTACAGACTGGAAGACAACTGTTAAGTTGTATTGTAATAAACACAATTTCTTGTTTCCATGATTGAGCAGTACCCCTATTTATGTACTCTTAATCAAACTTACATCAAATCTCCTTAGTAACCACATTGTCAGCAGTGACAATACTTCTTCCATTCCTAAAATAGGCCATTCCTTACATTCAGTCAACTTGGCAGCAACCCAGGTTGTTGGCATGACTTCCTGCCTTGACTTTTTTGACCTTGCAAGATGTTGCATGTTTGCCTGCCAAAGCACTGTACAACACTGTCAAAAGACAGAACACAAGTTGAGATAATTATATCAATATCAGAGCGATCGGTCTTTCAGTCCAGGAAGGTTGCATTAGCAGATGACAACAACAAAGCCACGTTAGGTATGCACTGACATGAGCTGGCAGGAATTCCACAGAGGGACCAACACACACAAAGCTGTATCCTCAGTGATTCCTAAATGGATCTCGGCCCCATGTGAAACCACCAATGACTGCCATGATCAGTCAGGTTCATAAATATAGAAGCACGCTCTAAAGCATCTTGGTCCCAAAGTAGTTTGAAAGATGAAAACAAGAGGAATCGTACTATGTTTAAGGAGTAATATGCTTCTGGAGCAAAATAAAATCATCCCTCTACATTTGTGGGGGTTGAGGAGCAGGACAAGAAAGTGAGGGGAAACCTGCCAATGCTATGGGTGGGTAGTTCGTGGGGAGCATGAAGAATATGCATCTGGTTGCTGAGCTCCACAGCCAGTGACCTCCCTGCCAAAGCCTGGAGTTGTGCGCACATTCACACAGCCCAATTCTTAGGAGGCAGGTGGGGAGAGATGAGACATCACTGTCACCCTTGCACCTACCTCCTGAAGAAGGGGCTACCCTGTCAACATTTATAAATCAGCCCCATTCTCAGGAGGTGGACACAGCATGGACAGGGATGACTTCTCCCCCATTCACCTCTTCAGGATGGGGCTGCTGTGTGAATGTGCATCTGGTATGCACTGGTATGAATGACACTCTTGGCAAGACAGAAGAAGAAGGAACACATGAATCTCACAAATAATCAAAACTGAATGTAAAACTCGCAATTGTAGAGAATTGACTAGCTGAAAGTTAGCTCTATTCTGTACTTTGTGAAAGCATTTTTCTAATAGCAGATTCTATGAATTGCTTGTTGAGTGTGTGGTGTAGCTTCTCTTACTTTTTTTTGGTATCTGCTTACTAAGAAATCACGACCACATCCATGTGTCTATTTGCTTTCCACTCAAGACCCCTTCCCACCCAAGAAATGTTTCCATGACCCTGAGTTTATAGGTATAAAAATAAAACATTTACTGATAATAAACCAGCATTTTCAGGGCTTGTTAAACAGGCTGATTTTCAATGTGTTGTCAAAGGCTTTCATGGCCAGAAGAACAGGGTTGCTGTGAGTTTTCTGGGCTGTATGGCTACTGTATGTTCCAGAAGCATTATCTCCTTACACCCACATCTATGCAGACATCCTCAGAGATTGTAAGACCTCACAATCTCTAAGGATGCCTGCCATAGATGTGGGCAAAATGTCAGGAGAGAATGCTTTTGGAACATGGCCTTACAGCCTGGAAAACTCACAGCAATCCAAGCTGATTTTCCTTTTCATGAAGTACAACTGAAGCATTTTCTGCAGAGTCCACTGTAAACACTGTATATTGTTGCTAACAGATTCATGTAAATGACTAGATGGCGTTCAGAAAGCTTTTATTGTTGCCCACTTTTTCATGACCCACAGTTTAAGAAACGGTGCCTTAGAGGACTATCTTGTTAAATTTTTGTATCAGTTGCTGGAGCTGTTGTCAGCCTTTAGGATTTAGGGTCTTACTCAAGTGTTTAAATCTATCTGACTTACGCAGTAGATGCATTCTTATCTCTAGTGTGCATGAAGTAAATTAGTGTATAAGAAAGCTAAGACCACCGAGGTCATTTCACAAGCTGGTGAGGCTAATTCTGAACTGTTGGTACCATGGTGGGTATGTGTGTGCAACAAATGCCTTTAGGCCTTCAAAGCATCTGCATAAAGTCTCATTTTGCTCACTGGTGTTCAGTACATTTGAGAAAACCTGTATGTGCAAGATAAGTACATCTATAAAGCACTAGCAGATGTATTTTAGTCATCCAGTTGATGGTAAAGCAGCGATTCTCAACTTGGGGTTCAGGACCCCTGGGGGGTGGTAGCAAGAGGGTTGCAGAATGGTAATCAAAAACCATCAGAAAACAGATGGTGAATCCTCCCACCAAAAGCCCTCCTCCACTGTGATTGGCTGGCCTCTCAGCGAGAGGGAGGGTTATTTCAGAGACTCCAAGTGGAGATGTGTGCTTGGCACATGGCAGCATAGTGTGCATATGTGGACAAGGGAGAGCGTGTGAGGCTGGAGGGAGCCTAGTGCCAGCAAGTCCCTTAAGGCATGGGGGTTCTGTGTAGGAAGCTAGACCCAATTCTATCATTGGAGGGGTTCAGAATGCTTTTTGATTGCAACTGCCACTCCCAATTGTCATGGTCTATTTTCCCCAAACTCCACCAGTGTTCACATTGGGCATATTGAGTATTTATGCCAAGTTTGGCCCGGATCCATCATTGTTTGAGTCCACAGTGCTCTCTGGATGTAGGTGAACCACAATTCTAAAATTCAAGGTCTATGCCCCCCCCCCCCCCATTTTCAGGATGATCCGCGAGAAGGCCTTACTGGTACATTATTTAAACTGTTATGTTAATTCATATGATCTGATCGCGATGCTCAATATATCCCATATGCATGTGGGTATTGGGATAAAGATACAAAAGGTTTGGTAGGGTAGATCCTCAGCCACCCCCCGAATCAAACTCAGCCACCCCCCCCCCCCCCCCCCGAATCAAAATCCTGGCTACAGGCCTGATCCTGCATATCAGATGTTTACATTACAATTCATAAGAGTAGCAAAATTACAGTTATGAAATAGCAATGAAAATAATTTTATTGTTGGGGGTCACCACAACACGAGGAACTATATTATGGGGTCGCGGCATTAGGAGGGTTGAGAACTACTGTGGTAGAGTAAGAGCAAGATGTAACTCTAAATTACTTTAGAATTATTTTTAAGGAGTTTAGACTGCTTTAAATGTTTTTAGTTACTTATTTCAAAGTGATTTTAACAATTGTACATCACATTGGAAGCCTTGACAGGTTAAGGGATAATAAATGCCTTCAGTGAGATATTAACTAGATACAAACTAGTTATGTGTAACTAGCACCTTATCCAACATTGTGTTACATTATGATTGCAACATAGTGAAACATACAGTTAAGTTTCATGTCCTTCAACATTTGCCAATTACTTAAACAGCATAAGAGGTTTTTAAAGGTTTTCACTAGACATATTAGGGGAAATGCCTCCCCCCCCCCCTCCCCATTCTGCATAGAGCAAAAGAGATATCTTTCTGAGTGTCTTCAGGAAAGCTTTCCAGTTTTTCTGGTCTTTCCATCGTGTGACTCTTCCCCCTTGCTGCTGCTTTCTGTTTCGGCCCCAGGATCAGGCTTTTGTGTTCCAAGATTTGACAGCCTTGTGACACCACCAGCTCTCCCTTTGAGTCTCTGGCTTTGAAATGCTGCAAACTGACAAGCCTATTCTCGATTCATAAGAGCCTTTACTCTTCTTACAATCTGCATTTCAGTGAGTTGTGTTATTTAATAAACCATTCCTCCTCTAAAAAGAGCTTACACTGCTCAGAGATATTTGTGTGAGACAACAACAACTATGTACTATAGATATCAGGTTAGGAAAATTACTTTTTGATTACAATTCCTAGAACATTATGATGAGTTATTTAGGGAATTATAATATAAAAAAGTAACTTTCCCACATACTAATTTAAAAATACTAAACTTATTCCCTGATTAGTTTGGATTCCCAAACTTGGTAGATAAGGGGCTGGCAAAGATTTTGTAGGTTCAAAGTAATGATGACCAAAAACTTAATCAATCACCCTTTCAGCCAAATGTCTGGACATTGCTGTTACTGCTTTATATTCTATTTGATTAGATCGCCAATTGCCTTGCACTAACTGATTAGTTCCTTGCTGGGTGCAAACACAGTCCCTGTATGTGCCAGCCCTCCAGCTTTGCACTTCTGACCCTTCCTTGCTCATGCTTTACTAGAGCTTAAACCGTGTAATGCATTGTAGCATGCAGCTCATTAAGTACTTGGCTGCACTCAGACATAATGGCCATTGCCCATTATGCATGCATGGCGACATAGCGAGTGATCTGCTTAGCAACACCGACCCTCAGAAGACACCACTCCAGTGTGGGGTCCTTCCTGTATAATTCATTAGGACTTCACCGGAACATAAACTAAGCCAGGGCATTGAACTAAGGCGTTCACTACTCACCCTCCTTCCCCCACCATTCATTAGTTGGTTGCATCGTTTAGTTTTTGTAGTTCGATATTTATAACTGCATTCAGTTATGGCTCAAAGTCTCCTGCAAACTTTTAACGCTGTTTTAATACTATGG